CCACGTGAACCGAACCCAACTGCAAGTGGTGGACAACTTCCCGTATCTGGGCAGTACCCTCTCCCGCAGCACCAAAATCGACGACGAAGTTGCCCACCGCACCTCTAAAGCCAGCCAGGCCTTCGGCCGTCTACAGAACACCACCTGGAACCGTTACGGTCTCCATCTCAACACGATGCCTTAGATGTACAAGGCTGTCATCCTGCCGACCTTGTCGTATGGAGCAGAGACTTGGACGGTGTACATGAAGCAGGCACGGAGACTCAATCACTTCCAATTCAGCTGTCTTCGACGGATACCAAAGCTGAGGCGTCTGGACCGAATCCCTGACACTGACGTGCTAGAGCTGACGGGACTCCCCAGCATCTGCGCCATTCTGAGACAACTACAACTGCGTCGGAGCAATCATCTCGTGCGGATGGACAACGAGCAGCTACCTAATCGACTCTTCTATGGCGATGTCGCCACGGGTTCCTGTAGCCAAGGAGGCCAAATCCGTCGATACAAGGACATTCTGAAGACCTCCCGGAGCGTCCGAAAATCAATCCGGCCAACTGGAAGGACATCGCCCGAGACCGATCGACCTGGAGGAGGACAGTGAGGACAGGCGGAGCGATCTACGAGGTAAACCGCATCGCCACCGCGAAAGCCAAATGAGAAACTCGGAAATCTCAGCCGCGAGCTCCTCGCAACGCCATCGCCGAACTGCCCCCAAAGTCTCCACGGTGTTAGCGGATATTCCGGGCGTCAATTGGACTTGTGCACTTTCTGACAAACTGCAGCACTCGGACTGCACCAACCGTCGTCTCTCCGCCCACCTCTTTCTCGCCTTCTACGCCGTCAACTAACTTTGACCGCCCTCCCGAACCACCACTCCCATTCTTCTTCTCCTTCTCCCTCTTCTTCTTCTTCTTCTTCTTCTCCTCCTGCTCGGCCACATGCGTATCCACGAGAGCGGAATTAACCACAGTCCCCGCACACCCACCATTCCTAGCCCCTCCCTCACTTCGTAGCCTTGTGCACCCACCGCCATCAGTTCCATCACACCCAGTGCACACTGCGCACCCACCATGCTCACCCCACCCACATCCTGGCGCTCAGTGCGCCCACCACCACCACCACCACCACCACCACCACCACCACCACCACCACCACAACAACAATCTCCGTAGTTGACACTGACACCAACGGCTGCTCGTGTCCACGCTGTCCCCGCACATCCACCTCCCGCGTCGGTCTGGTCGGTCACTTGCGGATTCATCGCAGAGACTGGCACACCCATGCCTAAAGCACCAACCCACAACCGCCGCATCCGCCTCCGCCGCCCTCGTACATTCATGCACCGCAGGGGCCTATTCGACCATATGCGCATCCACGAAGACCTGCGGTAGACAACCGCCGGCTGCGTTACACCATCACATCCTCCCTCACCACCATCTCCCCGCACATCAGCATCACCCACCACAAGCATCCAATTGACACCTCCTGCGCAAGTGGGAAGTGTGCGTCTCGACTTGGGTCCTATGCGACTCCTGCTGCATGGGTGACTCGAGCCTGAGACTATGCCGGCGCGTCAAACGCCGTGGCTGGAAGGCTGCTGATCAACACTCCAACTCAGTCCACGCAGTTCGTCCAGCTGTGTTTGTGTGTACGCGTTTGTGTGGAGTGACGGGCTGAGAGCCGGGCTGAAACAGCTCCTTCCACGGCACTCTCACGCATGTGAAAGGTACGCCGCCCACCCCCGCTGTGTAAAATCCTGGTTTTCGTGTTTGGGGGGTTAGGTCGTGCGTGTGGCGCGCGCAGACAAGGTCACTCAACCATGTCAGCCACCGCGCCCACTCCCCGCTCCAGTCAACTGACCGGCTCGGACAGTGGCTGAGGCATGGGAATGAGAACGGAGAGTGAGGTCGTCGACTCAGCACATCTTCCCCACTGTAAACAATGTGACGCGCTTGAAACTATCAGAGTGCGCTAAAAGTCGTGGCTTGGTAGGTTAATAATTGACGGGATAACTTGGACCTCGCAGTCGGCCGTGTTGTGTGCTGCAGTTGTGGAGTGACCGGCTGGTGGTCTGACAGACAAACTGCAATGTCTCCTTCTTAATGTGGCCTTTGTGGCACTCCTACTCCATGGGATCCGAGCTGGGTGTGGCGGCACGCCTAAGTGCGGCTCCGGCCGTGTCAGCCACCCTTTTGTTTTTGATTGAAATCCTGGTCATTTGCTGCGTATATCGGGGGATGCGGAGTGGAGCGCCAAGGTGCGGGCACGACCGTGCCATTCACCTGCGCCTCCCACCTCCGGCCTTCTCGATTATGTCTCGACATCGGGTTCAGGTTGGGGAGGGGGAGAGTGCGGTAAACGCAGCGCAAGTCCACATTTACTATGTACTAAACCACGCGCATGTCACCGTGCCTACTTCATTTTGTTGTGGAGCACACAGTGGACATCGTCGGCAACGACGTTCGAACTATAAGTATGTCCTTGGATCCACCTGTTCCTGCAATCGAAAGCAGTCTCTCCTGTTTCCCCTTAAGGTGACCAAGCGGTCAATTCGTGGTAATCAGCATTGCACGCGGCACTAGCGGTATACGACTAATAAGCCTTGGGTGTAGCTGCATCTTTTGAAAAATCCAAAGGATTTGCAAAACGTGTTCTAAGATGAGTCGCGCGGATTTGGGTCTAAACGAGTTCGTCTGGTGGGAGGTTGCAGCCTTAAATAGAAAATGCTCTGAACCTATAGGGCGGACAGGGGGAAACAGGATCCTCGTCTCCCAATAGATACGTCCAAAACACTATCCGTGTCCTTTTAATCTGACTTCCCACTGTTGGAGATTTGAGTCTGGATCTGGGCCCTCTGAGACTTTTGGGGGGTCGAGCAAAACAGAGGTTGGCTTCTCCAATAGAGTTCGAGACGTCCTTCTAGCACTTACACGCACTACTATCCTTTGACTTGACGGCAAGACATTTCCGGGGTAACACTCGTCCAACCGTCGAAGGTCCACACTTTGGCAACGGCTATTCCTCCGTACGGTGGAATGACTTGTATTCACGTAAACAACCCCCCGTGCGCTGAGGAAACCAAAGTTGTAGAAAAAAGCAGATTGGAGACTCCATCGGATTGGAAATTCACACTTCCCTGCATGGCGAGTGGAGGCTGCGCGAGGCAACCATGTTGAGTAATGACTCCTCCCGTTTGACGTGCATAGAACCTGCAAGCGCAGTTCACGAGACCCAACATTGCTCGCTATCTGGACTCAATCAAGTCCTGGCACGCGCCGTCCCGCCCTCATACTGTTTCCTATACCACTCCTTCCCGGAATATCAAATGACTCTAGAATCCAGGCACATACCGCCCACCGGTGTTGGGGAAAAGGTTCGTATACCCCACCACACACCTGATACATTAAATGCATCGTAGGTAGCATTATTGTTTGCGCCCAAATGCCCCTCGGAAGTTTAATAGGTCATTCGAGTAATGAAGTGCGGCGCAGACCGAACGCGTAGCCAGCGCGCCAATTAGGAAATCCGTCACCGGATGCCCACGATGGGGGAACACTCGGAATGCTTCTCAGTTGCAGCATGTAATCATCCGAATTGGTCGATGAGTCATGGGAGCTGCGCTACATCAGACAAATTCACAGGCCACGTTCAACTAGGCTCAGGAGAAGATACTTCGAGTCTTAGAGCCCCTCTCAGGAGAGGAAAACCACGGCCGGAGAAAACGCTCTCCCTGTGTCATACTGTTACATACGTTGGACTAGCGTGGACTTCGAGAAACAGACGCCAGCCCAGCTGGGAAAAGCTTTAGAACGTGTGGTATCTCCCGATGGAAGGCAAGAATGAGGAACCGCTGCAGTCTCAATGGCTAAATGCACTTGACAGGCAGGACGGAGCGTGCCCACCAAAGAAGACAGAGAATACGGTCTAATGGACCTTGCTTTTACAAACGTAGCAGACCGGGAGGGTAAGTAGATGCCGCGACCCAAATACCTCATAGGAGCTATTCAAGACCCAGTTAAACTTAAGGACAACTTAGATAATTGGCATGATAAAGGGCCACCCGGACTTGCAAACGCAACAGAATGGGAGACAATGACCAGGAGTTAATTAAATGTCTGCGATTAAAACAAACCAAGAAATAAATCCGGTGTGCAGTGAGTCTGAAAGACTGGCAGCATTTAACAGGGCAATAGGGGGAAGGAGATTGGGGGAGGCAGCAGTTGACTAGGAAGATGATTGTGCAAGCAATGTGAGAAACGATGTAGAGGAAACTAAGGATGTACTAAGCATGCAAATACTCACAAAAGTGGGGACAAAGAACAGGAGGGGACTATATAAAACAAATGGTTAGGAACTTTTGCTGATGATGTTGTCTCGCCCCTCGCCGACACCGATCCAGCGAACGGACACTCCACATAACCGCTCAACAGCCTCGACGTACTTTTTCACTTCGGCCGGAAGATCTTCGTACTCTCGAATTTTGGTTATATTTGTCTTCCAACCGGGGAAGGTTTCGTACACAACCTGGACCTTCTCAAGCGCTTCTGGACTGGACGGCAAAGTGGGATAGGTGGCGCCAGTTTCGGGATCGATGTATGCCTTGCCAATTTTAATCTGAGAAGAGAAGTACTTGAAGTAACAAGGACTCGTGAAGTTTATGAAACCAAAGAAATCTGGAGCAGTGGTGGGACTCCTCCATGGCAGTCAAAATTACACCGACTCAGATGAATCGAACGTACTTGCAAAAAAGGAACCAAAGTTTGTTACGCGACCCACTAGTGGCCCCTTACACATTCAGCAAACTTCAGTTAGACTCATGAACGCCCTAGACTGATTGCAGGGGAAATTTCAGACATATGTGAGAAACGTGCACTGTCATTTGAACTAAAGACATAGCGTAAGCCATATATGCCAGGAACACAAAGGGTAAAGGATGCTTCGAGATCACGGATTTGCCCATTAAAACCTGCCTCGCTTTCGGTTGGTTGATAGCATCCAGGACCAAATTGTACGAACCATTGGAAAGGAGTAACACCTATAAGGACAGCGAGACTAGAGCAGGCCATATTGAGGGTATTTAAGAATGAGAACAGCTGACGGGACTACAACTTGGCGTGGGACATGCGTTTAGTCTAAATTATGGAGACCTCATTGCGAAAGTCGATAAGAGAAGGCCAGGGATCAGACTGGACTAGATACGGTGCTCTTGCCACTGAAGCAACCCCGGACACAACCTGATCTTATATTGTTTTAGAAATCGAGTGACTGAAATTTAGCCACACGCCGTGATTACGGCCGCTCTTGGCCTAATGCTAAAAGGCGGCACAGCATGTTCTGCTACACCTTTCAATGCACAAAATCCAGTCAATTCAAATGTAAGTCGAGAACAACTCAGAAAAGATGGTCTAGATCTTAAATCTTGAATGGGCACTGAAAACCGAAAGACAGGACGCACCTCATCAAAATCGTCAAGAATGTCGAGCTTGGTAAGAGCCAAAGCCGTAAAATTATTGATTGTATGCGCGTATCTAACGACGACGGCATCGAGCCAGCCAACACGCCGCTTTCGGCCGGTTGTAACGCCAAATTCACGACCGAGGCTTTGGAGGCGCTCAGCCAAATCACCAAAAAGCTCGGTGGGAAAGGCTCCCGAGCCAACCCTCGTAGTGTATGCTGAAGACAGAAAAGGTGGCATGCTCAGTGTGGCTTACATTATAAACGGCAGTATAGTTTAACAGACGTGGGAACGTACCTTTAACGACGCCGTAGACGTCACCAACACGCGAAGGAGCCAGACCAAGTCCAGTACACACACCACCGACAGAACAATTGGAAGAAGTGACGTACGGGAAAGTTCCGAAGTCGATATCAAGCATTGTTGACTGAGCGCACTCAATCAGGATCTTGTGAGTATAACCATGCGCGAGCTTATTGATCAAGTAAACTGTATCACGAACCATTGGTCTGATGCGTTCACGGTGTGCATGGAGCTCCTAGAAAAACAAACCTTCGATGTTGGAATGCGGTGGAGATTTAAAAACGTCGTATGGAACTTGGACAAGCCCGAAAAGCAAAAAAAAGTGGAGACGCAACTACGCCTGGGGAACTCACTTCGAGCGACTTATCTATATCAACATTTAGTTCTGGGAACTGGTTTTTGTAGAACTCCACGAGGCTTGTAAACTTTTCACGAAAAACGTTCCAGTCGCCGATGAGGTCTACTAAACGAAGTCCTCTTCTGGAGACCTTCGAGGCGTAAGCGGGGCCAATGCCACGCTTTGTAGTGCCTAGGAGCCGACGGCCACGTGATTGCTCCTAAAAGTTGAGATTAAGAAGCAGGACCCTACCTCAAGAACGTCGACGTCTTGATAGAAATCGAAGACAATGTGACTTCGCTCGGATATCCTCATTCTGCTTTCTATGTCTTTAATGCCCATTGCGGTCAGTTGGTCGACTTCCTAGGAAATAGGCCGATATATGAGTAAAACGCACCTTAAAGAAGTCGGTGAGGTTCAGGACGACACCATTTCCAATAACACACATGACATCGTCGCGAATAATCCCACTGGGAACAAGGTGGAAAAAGAAAGAGCGACCATCCACAACGACGGTATGGCCTATCCAAATATATACGAGAACTAATAACAAACCTGCGTTGTTACCACCTTGGCAACGACACACAACGTCACAATCACTGGATAACATGTCCACGAGCTTCCCCTTCCCTTCATCGCCCCATTGGGCGCCAACGACGACCTGCACGGTAGGCATCACGGATGGGACAAAGGACGGTGCAGCGATCTTCACATATTTAAACCAGCGCAAATTATTAATTTTGTAAAAGGTTATATACGCAGTTATTTTTGATAAAACATCCAAAACATTTAACAGTAATAACAAAAAGGGCATTTTTGTTTAAGTAAACAAAATGGAACGCAGCGTTTTAAGGTCAACTTACCTTTCGGACAATGAGTTATCGTGCTGAAATGTAGCAGTTACATCGGCATAGAAGATGGCATCTGTACTAGCCAAACTTTTAACTTACAAGTTCCTGACGTTCCCAGAAATTTTTGATAATCTTCTCAGTCAGTCGGCGCATAAACTTGTGCTTTGGACATTGCTGCTTCTGTCAGTTATATGTCTGCCGATTTACTTTTTGTTTCGAAACGTCGTTCGAGAATCACCGCCTAGAGACAGTGGAGGGGATAAACATCAGGGAGTCGATGTCTTGATTAACCACTGGAGGACACAGAATGACTGGGTTATTGATAAGGTGTTGGAGGTTTGTATGGCATTTGTCAGTGAACCGCCGGGATCGGCAATGGTAAAGTGGTTTGACGTTTATTTGGTTTGAAAGCTCCCAAAAAGTGTCCAGTTTATGGACTTTAACCCAGAACTTTCTTCCCCTCTGTCTTTTGAACTCTCACAACGTCCTTTACTTAATGCAGACTCTGTGGTATGTTCCATTTTATTCTAATGAAAAGAGTGTGTTTATCCGCGTGTATTCTCGCCGTCTTTCATTTTCGGCCCTTTCAAGCTCTGACGACCCTAAATGCCTGAATTTAACTCTTGGCGAATTCACTCTTGAGGCAAGTTTCAAGTTTTAACTTCCATTTGTAGGTCAATCTAATTATGTCTTTCAAAGATACGGAGCTGTTAGGAGTGTCAGCCATTCCATCAAAACCTTCTTTTTCTCTGTTTATTGATTCGGACCAAATGGTAAGCCTGTTACTTAAAGCTCAGGGAAAAGACTGAGATTTCTAAAAGTGATATCTCAAAATTTACTGAGGACATTATTCGGAATGCATATCAGATTTGGCCTAATGCACAGGAACTTGTGGAAAAATATCCTCATTTAAAGTTACTTTACCAAAGGAAGACTCCGGGCTTCACTGACAATTTCCAAAAGGTAATTCATCTTTTCCACTGACGATTTTTGACATATCTCTTTTTTTATTGTTAAATGGAATACGACACTGGTCTTTTGATATAGACTTTCTCTAGTGACGAATTTAAGAAAACTGCGGCAACATTAGGTTTTAGCGTAGACCCTGCACTGAACATTTTTTTTCCTAGCATGAGACCTCCTCTGCCAGATATTGTTGTTGTAGATAAGTAAAACTTACATTTTGTCTACTTCCAAATCGACTTTTCAATCAGGCAAATCTCGGGAAGTAATATGCCACGAAAATTTGGCGGCATACTTTTTTGCTAACAATATTAAGGTGAGAGACTCCTTAGACTGCTGAATGAGAAAAATGAAACATAACAAAATACGCTGACAGTGAAATTAGAGAAGTTAAAATTAGAAGAAAAAGTTGCGAGCGAACGTTGCTTTCGATAACTTCTCTTCAGGCAAGTACAGTTATATGGGAACTGGGAAGTGAATGAAAAAAATCGTTGTAAAATAGTTTTAAAAAAAATAATTTTAAAATACCGGCTAGGCAAAATTAGCACATTCTTTATTGAAATAATTTCCTCTTTGAAGCACGATTTTGTGACGATTAGCAATTTTTTACTCGCAGAATTTTGTACACTACTTTGAGCTGTGGGTGCAACTAGTCACCATAGTTCAAAAATACATCATTTTAATTGAATCTGCATTTATATGGGCATGCCAACGCAAGAAATTTGAAACCATACTTTTTAAAGTGATATGTGGATATGTTATCTGCCTGGGTTCGATTAATATACTTTGGTTCTATAGAAAAGGGTTCTTTTCACAAGGACGAACTTTGTCCATGGTGTCTGAACGAAAACGATACTGAAAAATTATTTTGGACTTGCATTTTTAAGCAACCCTTCATTTAAATTTAAACAAACAAACACTGAACGCATGTCCCCGGACTGCATAAATCACTTATGCCTGTTTTGCAAAGTTTGATCCACTACATCCTTGCACACTAAAGAGACTGGAGTTTGTGAAAAATGAGATCTTTCCATCAACCTGTCTGCTGTCTGTCTTGGCTCCCACGGCTATCCGGTAGCGCAAAAGTTTTCCTAGGCGGTTAGCCGTGATATGGACTTGCTTTCATTTGAAGACTGAGCATTCACTGACTTCTACTGGTTGTGTGATGGAATGCGGGTTTAAGGTTCGGAAAACTAATTAGGCCACAGACTATCCTAGAAAAATGGCACGTGATGAGTATGCAATGTTGTGTGATAAGTTCTTTTAACTGGTGAAGACCTGAATGCCCGACTTCCATCCAAAGGCTACGTTAAGGATTGCGTTGTCTAACTTAAACAAGAATTCAAGGTCGCCAGCCTCTATAAGTTCTTTCATCGCAAATCCAAACTAATTCAACATTTTATGAATTCATTCAGTTCCTTTAACACCGAGGGATCTTTGGATTGTCTAAGTTCAGCGAATATTCCCATGTTACAATTGAAAAGTCAATTTAGTAAACACGTGTTTTCGGTAACTCGGCATCAGGCACAAACAAGAGGATGGATCTATCCACCGTAGTGCATTCCGAAAGAAAACCTGGACGGGACAATACATTACGTTTCACAGTTTTGTTCCCCTAAATATTAAACGCAATTTGGTCCAGGGATTGGCAGCTAGAGTGTGACGTATCTGCTCTCCTGAGACTGTTGAGACAGAACTCCAGCAGCTGCGGGATACACTCCATGAAAACGGATAGCCAGAAAGATTTATTCTCAGAAATATAGAAAAGCGCACTGCAAAGCCCACCATGGCAACTGCAGAAAAGAAAGACTTATTTATAAGCCTGCCTTTTCAAGCCGACGCAGCAAGTGACCTAGTAAGAAGACGTCTGAAGACAGCGATCACTAACGCTTTCCCCGCGGCGAACTTAACTATATGTTTCACGAATTCTCCCCTCATTCGCTTGGGAGACAAAGACCGACTCCCGTTGCAGGCCACATCAATATGTATTTACTCATTCCCTTGCTCCTGTGGAGCGGGATACATTGGCCGTACAACGAGGCGCCTAGAAAGGAGAGTACGTGAACACATACCGGCCTGGCTAGGCAGAGGTGAAAAGAAATCGATCTCGAGTTCTATTTTCGCACATCTTGTCGATAAGAATCACCGAGTCGATGCCAAAGAAGCCTTTCAGGTTGTCCACCGGACACCGGCAAGCTTCTCCAGAGGTCTGCGCCAACGGGTGCTAGCTACAGCCGAGACAGTGGCTATACGACTAGCCAATCCAGTGCTATGCTGTCAGAAGATTCTGACACAGGCGCTCTGTCTTCCGTGGCCAACTCCGACCCAAACGTCACCCCAACCTCCTGATGACAGTGGTGTTTGCACAACGTACCCGACTTGCAAACATTACTCACAGCCTATGCCCCCCCCTCCCTCTCGTCCCCCTGACCCAATGACTACGACACGCCGACCACGCCATAGCAGGCCTCGTCATGCGAGTGGCGTGGGAACGATGAGTGTTAATAGCCCCTGAATCACTTATAACCCCTGTAAATTAACATAGTTTCAACTTCTATGCAGCCGTTTTGGCCTGATTACGAGTTATCGAAAACACGTGTTTGCCAAATGGACTTTTTAATTCAACACTGTTCGCAGGATATGATACACCCAGGCCTCTACCAATGGATCGCTGAATATGCAGACGTGAAGCATACTTATATGTTAGGTATTATTATCGAAAAACCTAACAATGCTGAGGATCTTACAGTGCGACTTTGGAATTTGCTACCTCTTTGAGGTATGTTGGCTAGATCATGATTCGCGTTGAATTTGCGGCTTCCGTCTACACCATATACTTACATCCAATTATTTCGATATTGGACTTACTCTGCATGACACCGGTCAAATTCTGGCCTCAGCAAAAGTCAAATAAACATACTGAGCCCGCCTGATGTTCTACTTCCTTTATATACGTGGTATCAACGCCGACAGTAAGATTGGTCCTGACCATGCTCTTGTGAGGACGTTATTACGACACAGACTACCTTTTGTAGAAAAAATACGACTGCATGTTGTGCTAATAGTTCTGAACTATGAATACCGCGTCTCATTATTGTCTGAGAGATTGCTGTGCATTAAACCTTGGACGTTAAAATATATACCACAGAACTCGGTCTCTATTAGCCCCATATGAATTTCAACGAATGTATGGATGATCCTTTCTATTGAGCAACATTTTTTATTGATTATTTCAGAATTCTGACAAAGACCTTGTTGACGACAAAGAGTTCCTGGAGGACACGGAATTACTCTCGACCATTCAGACAAGTCCCATATCGAACACATGCATTGCTACAGGAGAACACCCTGACAACTGCTCCCCTACTGCTGACAGTCACTTCACATCTCCCGCATTTACTGAAGGGACAGCCATGCAGGCATTTCCGAACCAACACCAGCCCTCACTAGATAACCCTCCGTCTAGTAGGAGTTCTTCACCTGCCCCAGAGCCAGAAGATATAATCACTCAAAATGGGCATGAATCGATCACCAATGAAACCTTTGAGTCAGTGGAAGGCAGCACTAGTGGGATGGTGGTGCTCGCGCACAACCCCGGTCTTAAACATAAGCTCGCCTCCACGCACGTCCGTCCACCGTTTCTACGATCAGCCTCAGATTACGAGAAGCAAGCCAATGCGGCATCTGAGGAGGCGGGGCTCGATGCGCACAATTTGACTGAACTTCTCATCGAACCCGAGCCTGTACCATTGGACCCCATTGTCCATCCGCCCAGTTCAGAAGTGGATGAGTTAGTAGACATCGACGGTGCGACTGCGGCACCTATTGTGAGTCGTTCAGCAAACTCCAGCCAACGGCGGAA